GGGAAAAGTGTCTCTATCTGCCAGGATACTGTACATGTATATGGATGTTCATCGATGTCAATATATCATGATCAAACTGTTACACATAGTATCCATGTTGATCCCAGTCTAGTCAGGTAATGTTTTTTTGTTGGTCATTTGGATGGGACAAAAGCAGGTCTACCTGAAAGACTGAAACTGTACAGCTTAGATTTGTTATGATATATCTTATATTATCATGGGGAAAATAGAAATGGAAAACCTTGCCATGCACAAGTAGCCTGTTCTCCCTTTCTGTTTTGCAATTAGCAATGGAAAATGTTACTCATTTAAACATAATTATCATGACTGTTGACAGCAAAACTCTAGTCATTTGAAATACAATTGATGCCATTAGTTTTCTTTGGAGAAACACATAATCAGTATGTGAATCTGTGGCCTCTCTGGCAACTTCACTAATGATTTCTTTTTTTTCAGCTTTTTTTTCTCCTTTGGTTAGTAACCAAAATAAATATTTTTCGAGTTATTGCTCGCTAATCTGCTCGCTTTTTTTGACATGTGGTCAATGATTACTGTACAAAACTCTTTTGGAAAACATTGTTAAAGACTGAAACTCTTATAGCAGAGTTGGAACACTTCTCTTACTCTACCATTACATCATATATCTAAACTAAAGAAGGAGGAGGGCAATGTTCACAATTTTGATAAATGTGTTTGAGAGCGGTATGTTGTAATGTCGTTTACAAGAATGTTATTTTATTTCCTAATTTTTACGTCTTGATCATATTTCATGGTCTAATGTCTTGTGATGACAGTGCCTGTGGTTTGGATAATGGATGTGAGCAGGATTCCCAAGAGCTATTCCCAGGGACATGAATGAAAGAAGAATGATGTTTAAGATTCTTCCATTGTAAATTCATAAAATGTACATCTTTGCACGTACTGTATGCATGCACACTTGAACTATATATTCATAACACAATGTTAGACACTGCGGCAGGGTAAAACAAGCCTCAAGTGAATTCCTGGGATACATTTAGAGAAAAGTACAAATAATGGAACAGAGCCAGTGGATTTTTGTTCTTTGGGTCAATTAGGTCACTCAGCACTATGATACATAACTGTGATACATAAAGATAACCCCTTGGTTGAAAAGTTGTTTTAGTTAACGTTCGGAAATGTTAATAATAATTGGACCTCGGGGCCCTAAACACAAAAGCTCTGTCCCCTTTCATTTGCAGAAGAGTCGGAGGTCATGAAAACCCCAAAAAGTAATCAGTAAATCAATCCTTGTCAAATATATATACTACTGTTTCCAGAGTTTCACAGAGGGCAATAGCTGACCAGATTGTATGTGTGTCTGCACATTTATTACAAAGTATGTTAAAGTGGAAGCGGGGGGTTTTAACTGACCAAACAGGCCCTCTTCATCCCACAATGCAATGTGCCTGAGGTGAGAGGGGGCTGAGAAAGTTCCCTTAGATTTACTGGGTAATCCCTTGATAAATAAACTGGGAAGACAAGACCACCGCTGCTATCTGTAAGCCAATACTCCCCTAGAGGAGGGATGGCCCTGGGCTTGGCTAGCTCTAAGCTGATGATATGTGCACAGATACACACACATACACACATACAGATACACACGTCAGAGTTGAGCCAAATACGTTAAAAAAGATCCTGGCACAGACATTTGTAAGAAAAAAAGACATGATTTAGTTTCAGTGTAATAAAATCTATTCCGTTAATATGCAAACCAGTTTCATGGCTAGCTCATACACATAGAATACATGCTTTGTATTTCCCTAAAGTCCACCCATGGATGACATGCATCCCACAAATTTGCCCCCTCCATCCGACTCTGTACTCAGGCAATCACATGAGGAATGCTCCACAAAATAGCTGACATTGTGAAGGTATAACAAGCACAAACAGGTGTTCCCACACACATACACGTAGGAAACCAAGTACTCATGCTGTGCCCACATGGGATTTTCATTCTCACGCCATCATCAGGTCAGGAGATAATTGATTTATGGCCGTGTTCTAGCCCATGTTATTTTTCAACCTGTCGTCTGATTGGCCCTCAGGATGATGTGGTCGTGAAATCCGACCTATAAGAGCATGTCTCTATTTCTCAAGAGGATGCTGTTTGTTTTCCCTAGGATGACTTTGTGTTCTGTTTACACTGTTGTTTGCTTAGTTAGACATACGAAGGAGTTCTCAGTGTTTTTATTTTGAAAGGCCGGCCTGTATCGGCACACCAGAGCAATGATAACCAAGAGGTCTGACTTTGTGTTTTTTCCATGTGCTTAAAATAATAAATTACATTTCATCTAATGAACTCTAAGTAAACTTTTGGAAGGACCATGACCATCCATCAGTTGAAATAAATAAACATTAGAATTTGATTTTCCTGCGCTTTTAAGCTATTTTCATTTTCCTATAACAAAGCCCCAATTTATTTTTTATGATGTATGATTTTTGTTATACTAACTGCATTTTGATGATGCTCTTAGATTTGCTAAAATGCTTTTACAGCAGCACATATTCTGGCTAAAGAATCAATTAGAATGAGAAAGAGTATACAAAAATACAAATCAGTTTAAAACACAATTTCCTTAGAAACAAAAAACTATTGTTACTGACTAGTGTTGGTTTTTCTCAGCCTGCCACTTCATCAATTTCCATACAAGCAAACACAAACTTTCCTGAAGACCTCCCACATGTTGTAGACTGGACATGACCTCATGGGACTGCATGTCGCCTGAAATATGTGTTTTGGATCTCTGGAATTTAGTGTATAGAAATGTATTTTCTGCTGTATAGAGAATAGCTATATGGTACACTTCAGTCTGCCATCTCGGCTAAGTACTTACACATTTAGTTTATACACAGGTTTAAGCATGTTTGTGTGAAATGAATTGGCCTTGACATTTATAGCTTTGGAATGAACGGTGTTTTACTGAGTCATTTTATTTAGATGCTCAAGCATTAGTGTACTTGCCGATGTTGATAATGATGAACTGAGCAATGTTAAAAGCTTTGGCTTAATCAACAAAGTATGAACTTTTATGTAAATGTTTTCCATTACCCTCCCTCGGATACTTTAATTAAGCAAACTTAGTTTCATAAAATAATGCCTATTTACAGGTTTGAAATTCACAAGTGTTCCAATAAATGTTTGAATGCGTAATGTTGTGCAGACGGTATGCAAATTAATTTTTACCCGTGGCTGTCTGCAGAAGCATGCAAAGGACATTTGGCTTACTATGTTGATAGGACTTCATGGCCAAAACAGTTGCTGTCTTCTATCTTTTCTCACTGCCATAATGTAATGTGTGTGTGGCATGTGTATGTGTGACGATGTGCATGTGTGGCTGTGAACTCCTCTCCCACATGTGAGCACGTTTTATTGGTCTGGAGGGAGTTAAGGTTAATGCAATAAAACAACCTTCCCCGTGCCTTACGTCTGCCTTTAGAGAGGATTTAAGACCGGAGTGGAGTTAGAAAAAGTTGAGAGAAAGGCTAGAGGGAAGAGAGCAAACGGTGCAATGAAGATTACAAATGTTCAGGGGGTTAGGTCTGCTAGAAAGTATCTTTTGGATTCCTGAGCAAATGACAAATCCCACTGCCTAGGACAACTGTTGTGTGGAAAAACTCATTTAAAGTCCATTTATTAGGCATATGAGATGACTGACTTGCCTAACCCTGCAGGGTAAGTGTATTTCTAGCAGTCTAGCAAGACACTTTCTGTGACTGTTAACACATATTACAGCTGCTTCCAGAATTACTTATCTAAACTCTTCCCAACATGTGGAGACAGACCCCTTCAAACAACCATTTAAACACAGATGCTTTCCAGTTACTTCCCAGATGAGGTTTATGTATTTGTTTGTGCATTCCATTGTTTTAGACCCCTGACAGGCCGCTCTGAACACTTTCAGTATGAGTCAAGTTTGTGCTATTGCTTCGATGTTTTGCTAGGACAGATGTCCAGATATCAGTGTGATTATTATCCTCAGTAAATACATTGTTTAAGAGATTAGCATAGACTGTATGGACCCATGCAGATAGATACAATGTCTAATCATTTGTTTATTGCTACTCTATTATATTTACCCTCAAAACAACAATTGTGATTTCAAAAGATTTAGCCCTAATTCATATGAATGGTAACTAAGATACAGAATAAAAGAACCAATTGCCATTAATCTGTTCTGGGGAAAGTATTGGTGTGCTTATTTACAGTATATTCATGCAAACATCACTTCAAATTAGGTTACACTTTATTGGTCTCGCTGCTTCTTTATGTAAGGCTTCATTTTCATCGGTGATAAATAAGTTTTGCTGCTGAATATTTCTGAGCCCTTAGATAGTGGCTCAGCATACACTGGTCACTGTACTCCGTCCAATAGGCAAGAGCCATTACCCTCTGTCTCTCTGGCTAATTGAGGATCACTTAATAACACTGGCCAGAAGCTTTTAAGCCAATGAGATTTCATTGATTTTACCTCTTGGTTTGAAGCACACGCCCCTTCATTCTCCTGATCCTGCTGTCTCTGCTGCTAGCTTTAATAGCCCAACGGAGATGCTCACCATCGCTGCCAACTGTGCGCACGTGCATTCACCTCTATGAGGTAGTGGAATGTTCTACAATTACTTTCAGCCTGCTGGCAGTAACTCACTCATCACACCATTTCCTTTCATCACGTCCCTCTTTTTACTCCAACCGTTTTCCCATGTTGTCTGTTACTCTGAAGTTCACTGCTCTATATTTCGTTCACCTCTCTTCACCCTGATATCATTGAACTGAAATGAAGCGATTCCTCATTTCAGATTGATGCCATCAACCTGAAGAAAAAATATATTCACTTTGAATACTTTAGTTTAGTTTAAATATGCTTTTAACTGTGCAGGTGTCATTTGGTGGTTTATTGAACTCATCCTGCAGCCCCACCCATGCTGTTTTATGTTTTCCTGGCCTAACAGGTGTGTGTCTGTTTCCTCTATCCTCCCCACAGGTGGACAAGGTGTGTGGCCTGTCTACTGGAGCGCCCACAAGCATGCGGCCTACTAGCCCTGAGGTCACAACCTCTTCTGTGACCTCAACTTCTCTTCCTCCATCTGCCGCCCCCTCCCAATCCTTACCAGAGCAGTGGCAGTCGCAGTTAGCCCACTTGAGGAGGTAAGAATAAGAAATAAACTGAACTGTGGTTTAATAAGTCAGTTTAAGATTGCCTGCGTTGAAAATATTTCTCGTGTTCTGGCAAAAATGCAGCTTTTTCATTGGAAATTAGTTACACAGTGGACTAGATGTAAATGTAAATGAAATGGTCAGGTCTGTATGATATTGCCTGAAGGGTTGGCCGAGGTCTATTCCCAGCTGCCATCACTTCTCTGTTATTTCATATGGTTAGTTGGACACAACACAAACAGCCGTAGTATGTAAATGCAGTGCCTGGCACTAAAGTCTGTGGCCTCCACCTGGCCTCTGAGGCAGCCATCCCATGCCCACAGCAGCTGGCAGTGATGTGCCAGCAGAGGGGGAGTGTGGGTAAGATTAATCTTGACGGACCATCAGTTTCCTGTTTACCCAGACGGCCATACCACCAGCCCTGCTCACCAGCCGTCCTCAGCGTGAATAGCACCACAGACGGAAACACACAGACGTGCAGCGTTGTCTGCCTGACCTTGTCCCAAACCATGAATCACTGCTCTTATGCCAGCCGAGCTGACAGGTCTGGCCTGGCACTGCCACCGCCATTCATGGCAACACAATCTACCTCCCTGCCTGCTGCCAACCCTGACCAAGGCACATGTGAGCGCTGACCACTTCAGAGACATGGCAGCACCCACTGCAGTACAGGGAGAACAGTCTCCTGCTGAAAAATATGAAACGTGATACAGAAAAGCAACATTTATGTTTCGTTTTAATAGGAAAAATTATGAATGTAGAAGTTCAGCAGAACTTTCTTTGGCTTTCCTGTGAATATTTAACTATTTGCACATGTGCAGATGTTTGCTTGTGTGTTATTTCTTGTGACTTAACATATACATTGCTATGCATACCAGTATCTGTTTTAATTGTCGGTGTGGTGTTGGGGGAAATGCATATTGATTTATGTGTGGTGTGGTTAGTCTCTGCATGTGCATGGTTAATCTCTTTCTTCCAGGGTCAACTGACTATCTTTTCTCCCTCCTCCCTGTGTGTCCTGTGTTGTCATCCTTTTGTTCCTTTTTTTTTTCTTCCACGCCCCACCTTTCACATCCATGCATCTTCCTTGCTTGCAACATTCTCCCCTGGACTACAACTCCCATCATTCACAGCTCGTTCCCCCTGAAACCCTCCAAGAACAATAAACATAATCTGAGAACCCTCTCTAGGTAAGCATGAACCCCAGGGACTTATTTCTCTCACCCACTCACACACTTTATCCAGCAAAGACTCATATTTTGACTTGTTCAGAAACATGTGACACTGTTTTTCAACTTCTTTTTATTTACAGTTGATTTTATTTGTCATGTCTTAAAAAAACTGCCATATTCATGTCATTTGCGGTTCTTAGAAGTGATTATTTTCACTGACTCAGCAACATAACCTTTCATGACCTCTGCTGTTTTTGCTCTTTCTCATGGGTGGCAACAACGGGTGCCTGATCAAAATATTATTGCATTGTTTTGCTCGGAATGACTGCCTTTATCGATAACTTGTGTTAGCAGATCTGATGAAGCAAGCACTTTGCTGCAGAGCATAATTGAAAAAAATGTGCTGACACAGTGAAATGGTCACATTCAAAGCAACTCATTTACTTCCACCATCAATATCTCCACTATATATATCACATTCATGTATTATTGAATGGAATGCAGATACAGAGTATTTGTTGACGATTTGGTATCAAGTAATGAGAAATGTATCTACAAACCACACCAAAAATGCTAAAATCTCACAATTCCTCAATTTTCTCTTTCTAAACCTGGACTATGATATGCAATATTTACTAAAATTATGTACTATCCCCATGTGTCCGTTTTTCCTCAGGGAGTTCTTGATGTACCTGCAGCGCTACAAGTCTTTCTTTGCAGCATTGCCAGAGATGCTGTGCGAAGGAGACAATGTTGTTGACGACTCCACATGCTGGAGCGGAGAAGACGTGGTGGAGAGGTAAGACATAATGTTCAGTCCCTCACCCCCTACAGTCACTATAAACTTGCAGTTGTCGAAAGCAAAGACTTGACAAATACCTGTGAGACATTCATTCCCTCGTGGAAAATCACATAACTGATACTGAACTTACTTTCACTTAATTGTGTTTGTTTAACTTAAATTGTAACATTTTCAATTACATCCCATTAAGCTAACCCTTATTTGACTTCTACTCCCAAAATCCATTGTCCTTTTAATGGATTAATTTTGTTGGTTAGACTCATTCTGTTTTGAGAGCATTTTGTTTCTTGTGATTAAGAAATGTTTTGTATCTTGTTATATAACTTTATCACTGCCAGTTGTTGCATAAACGTTTTTTGGCTGAACTTTCATTTTCTGTAGGCCTATGTGACAATGAATTAGGTGCTGGCTTGTATGCCTCCTTTCAAACAGGACATTCTGTTCGACTTAATATTTATTCATTCTAAAACCTTAGTTTGAAAATAATGAGTTTTGAACACATTTCAGAAAAAGTAACAAACCCTTTGTGTTTTGTTGCGTGCATGTGATCAATGTCAGTATGTGAGTTAGTGTGGCTGGCTGTTTTTAATCAATGTGGCAAATAATGAAGTAATTAAATCCATCTCCACATTGAGGCCCTGTCTACACGGAGACGAAAACGAGCCTTAGTCGATATCAAAAAAGTCTTCCTTCCACACGGAGTCGGATCAAGAAACGTGTCCGTCAACATGAGACCGCTCGACCCGCTGGAGACGCTGTTGTACATATGCCGGGCCTGTAAGTGGCGCTGTACTTCCGCCTCAAAATACACCAAAAGCAGCGAATAAGACCCCCCGAGCATGGTTGCCTGGTTGCCCTTCTGTTTATTCTCCGCGATGGATTTAGCAACATGTAGTTCATGTAGTTCTCTATGTCCACTTGTTGCTGATGGTTGTGGTAGAGGAGCTGTAGATTTTGCACTAACGTCTGTAGCATGGTCAGTAGCGTCTGGAGCACGAAAGGTACCCTGCGATCCGCCATTGTTGTTGTTGTTGGTGTGACGACGGGGGCGAGCAGCAGAGGTGGGGAGAGGCGGGGCTATGGCGTCATCGTTATCAGGAAATGATCGTATAGGGCAGGGGTCGGCAACCCGCGACTCTCGAGCCGCATGCGGCTCTTTAAGCCCTCTACTCTGGCTCCCTTGAGCTTGGACAAAAATAAGAAGGAAATAAAATACAAATATTTGTAGGACTATTTATATTTTGTTATAACATTTTTCGTATCTTGTATTTTGAGGTGATACTGTGACACATAAAACAATTTAAAAAACGGTTTTAATTAGGTCAACTAAAATATGCATCCTGCTACGGTCCCGCACCAGCGCCTTTTCTTGCAGGCGAATAACCTGACCCCCGGCTCGATGAGCGAACTATGGATAAATCAAAGAAAAGAAAAGTATCGAAGGAACACAGAGGGTTTAATTCTGCGTGGTTAGAGTTATATGCTTTCACAGCAAACGATGCTGGCTTAGCGCTATGTTTGATATGTGGAGAGAAGTTGCCAAAGGTGCTGCAGCCTTTACGTATTGGAGGAAAAACACAGAAGAGGAAGACAGCTGACGATCTTCAGTCATAATTCAATCAATTAGGGTGCAGCTATATGTTTTATTTATTTCAAAGTGGGCCCATTTTAATTATATTCATTTTCTTCAAATGTGCAGAGGACTCCCCAAGTGCTGTGTTGATTTATTAGTAGGCCTGTGTATTTTTGGAGGAAAAGGGGGCAAAATGGCTCTTTGGTCAAAAAGGTTGCAGACCCCTGGTATAGGGTGTACACACGGAGCCGTTTGGCCGCCCAGAGCGTTTTGTCCGCAGATCTACCCACCTTGGGAGCCGTTATCGTTATCCTCGTTTCCGTGTTGGCCTCGTGTGGACGAACCGTATACGATAGAGAACTGTAGCGGATACAACCCGTTTCGTCTCTGTGTGGAAGGGGCCTGAGTGAATGCAGGCAGAGCAAATAGTTGGTACGCTCCCCTCTCCTTTGTATTAGAGTCAGTTTAGAGGTTGTTGTTGTTGTTGTACTCCATTATGTTTTTTTCTTTTATTTGTGGGGATTTTATTGTGTGCTGATGTATACAGTAGGTGTGGCCCTAGAACCCTTTTCCTGCTTATAGTTTTGAGTGTGTGTGTGTGTGTGTGTGTGTGTGTGTGTGTGTGTGTGTGTGTGTGTGTGTGTGTGTGTGTGTTTCTCTCTTTGTGGTTATGTGCTTTCTCAGTCAGCATGAGAAGAACGGAGAATTGATGCAGAATACTGAGCCAATGCAAAATCTGTAACTGATTCCCCATGCTGGATCCGTTTCTTAAATGCTTTAGAAACTCGGTCCACAATTATGACAAGGTTATGCTCTCCTTCTGCGGTGGCCTTAAAGTGGCTCCCATTACCATGGCAACCTCAGCTCTTGGCAATGCCAGTATTGGCCCTGGAAGTAGCAGACTAGAGGTCCGGGGGATGCCTTTTTCCCCCATGATCCACCCTGAGTATTTGTCAGGTCCTTTGGCCTGTGTCCGTCTTGCTTGATTAAGCCATACACTATGCTTTTCACAAGTACATGGGAAAACATTAGGCTCATGAACAGATGCCTCTGATTCCAAAAAGACCCTTTTATTTTCCTCAGTGGTTGTCAAAAGCATTTTGTCAGACATTTATATGAATAAGTTGAGCTTTGATTAGTTTTGTAACTGTCCTTCTCTTTTCTCCTCTCCTCTCCTCTTCTCTTCACTTTTTTTTCTTCTTCTTTTCTCTTCTCTTTTCTCTTTTCTCTTCTTTTATTCTCTCATCCTCTCTTCATGTTCTGGCTCAGTACTGCCCTTCCCTTTCCCGCTGCAGAGGATCTGCCAGTGACTGAGACATGTTGAGCAGACCACACATTCATCAGGGCCTGTCACAATCTGCCGGCATATAAAGTACATAGTCAGTCACTGTATGTGTGCTAGGTCCATGACCTGGGACATATGAGCAAGAAAAGACACAGGGTGAGGAGACCATTCAGCACCTATAACACAAGAACTCTACAATAATGTCAAGATACGGCTTCTTTGTTTTTATTTATAGCCAGTTCTTTATTTTGGCCCTCTGTGTTTGTAAGTAAGTGTGTGTCACTTTTACTACCAAGGCTATTGGTTTTTCAAGAACAGTGCTAATGGGTTGTTACGGTTTGTTATCACACACTCCCTGGTGAGAGCCAGGACTTGCTTGCGGTGTCAAGTGTTCTTGAGCTGAATAAGAAAACCGTACCCGACTGAGGCATTTGGCACCACTCATATACTGCTCAGATCAAGCTGTGGCTATTCAGCAAACCTCTTCCCCTGTATCTGACTCTGTTGGCATGAATTAGAGAGGGACAGGAGGAGGCATGAAAAGGCTTGGCGTTTTGGTACCACGTTGCCCCCTGTGCCTCCCGGTGCCCCTGATGAGGGAAGCATGATGGAGTGATGTGGAGGAGGAGGGTCTTGGCAGTATAAAGACCCATTGTGGAGTCAGTGGAGTGGGGCACAGGCCTGCCGTGGGGACCCCTAAAGCCTGGAGGGGGAACAAAGACCCTCCTATGAGGCTGCATGGGAAATACTTGGACATCACTGCCAATACTACAGCCACTGGCCGCACCATGCCTGGGAAAAATGCATGAGAACTGCAAAGGCGGCAAGAGAAGAAGGCTAGAAAATATGAGAAGAGATGAGAAAAGGTTTGTAAAGATGACACCCAAATTATTGTCGAAAATGCTGTTAGTCGATGTCTTAGTTGGACTTCCTGTTTGATAGGAACACACAAAGCCTCTGAAGGCCTTGTGGGTTTTCCCCTATCACAGGAGGACTTAGACACAAATGGGCAAGCACACTCTCATATCACTCCACACAGGATCCATATGCTAGTCAACAGCTGGAGGGCTTATTCATTCAGACACAATCAAACTGTGCTAAGGCAAGAAGACACACACTTCCACATGTGTGAACAACACACACGCACACGCACACACACACACACACACACACACACACACACACACACACACACACACACACACACACACACACACACACACACACACACACACACATGTGTGAACACGCACACACATGTGTGAACACACACACACATTTGTATGTTGTAATACTTCAAAGCACATCAAAGGCAACAGGGATAGAAAGTCCCTCCCTCTCTTTATTCAGCATCTGATGACAGAGGGGCGAGCGGGGGGCAAGCAGTTGTACGTACAACAAAAAATGCCTGTTGGCATGTGTTCAAATCTCTCTGAACATTTACAGCATCACATGTGTGAATACTTTTCACAATCTATTCGGGAAGATAAAATCAACCAAAATTACCACACTCTTAGATTAGTCAGTCATATTATCGCCATTATAGTAGTCTTATCACACAATTAAATACTTAATTGTCATGTTTTTTCACAATAATTATGTTTATAACATCCCTGGTTTGTCTTTTGACACATAGAGATAGTGTGTGCAGGCTATGAAACAATGCTGCAGGGTATAGCCAAAGTTATGGCTTAATTAGGAACTGTATTAGCCTCTTGACTGAAAACACATGAGGAGGTAACTTCAAATGGGGTTTTATTGAACAACACTTTCTCCCAGACATAATAATTGCTTATGGATGTCTAACCAAGAGGAACTACTAGTGCAACTATGGACAGTTTTCAATTTAAATGAATTCCAAACGGCTTTAAGTGCTCAATTTTGGGCATGAGCTCCATAATCTCTTACCCGTCTGACCATCACCAATCTGATTTTAGAGATTCTTGATTCAGGTAGTGGTAAACACGATGAATAGATGTTGACATCATTGTCCTGGAAGAGGAGAGCTCTAGGTGATGCTAACTGAAGAGGAATGGTGACCAGTGATTGCTGTCTGTATTGGATTGCAACAGGATGACTAACTCTAAGGCAAAGCCAGTCTGAGCACACATGGTAGCCACCTCCATCTATTGTTTTGGTTTTCTTTAATGAGAAGCGGCAAATCAGTTGCATAACAGGGTCACAGGTGGCAAAAGAAAGCCAGGTGGAGTGGAGGCCACAGCTGAAACAAGTACATTGGGACCTTAACATTGGCATGTTAACCAATACCTACTCAAATCTGCTGCACCTGTATGTTAATGGCGTGTCTTGTTATAACCTAAATTGGAGTTATTTCAGATGCAGCTCATGCTGTTTTGCCAATAAAAGTTAACTCATCGGGAATCCTGTATGGCAAACATTGCTCTTACAATCTTGCTAAATCGTAAGACTTAGATTAAATTATTTAAACTAGAATGGATTTTCCACTTACACGCTGGTATAATAGAAATAAGAGAAAGACATAAGGAAGAGTGAATGTAGAAGTCTTCCTGTTTGAACAGCCTGACTCTGAAAACACTGCTTTTGTTTAAACACATAACATACAGTACTTAGGAACTTAATTGGCATTTTCTGACCTACAAATTTGTTGGGGTTCATTTTGTATTGATGTTATAGCTGAATGACTGTATACAGGCAGAAGGTTTATTCTGTGGAAAGGGAAAGAAACAATCTGCTTCAAGCCATGGAAGTCAGCAGACAGAGATCATAATCTCTGTTTTAATCTTTATGGGAGGAAAACATCATATCAACACCAAGGAAAACAAACTGTATTAGAGCCATGACCTGCAAAATAAATTATTTAATACATCATGTTATTTTTTTATTTACTACAGTATATTTGTAAACGCTCAATAATGTGTAAAACTGCAGGGATGACATTTCGACATACAGTATGAGGGTGTATGCATATGTTGGTGTGTCGGTGCAGTACAGTACGTATAACTTAAAGAATGGAGAACTCATCACTGTACTTTGGGGATGCTTCTTTTGTTTTAGCTCAAGGAGACGGCCCACAGACAATAGAGCAGTGTGAGTTTATCTGAATACCTTGCATTTTTATAAGGTTATGAAAATCCATTTGTTTATCATTTTGACATCTGGAATCCATTCGGTTATTGCAGGGAGAAACAGGGAGAGCGCTACAACCGGGTAAAGCCCTCACCCCTCTCACTCACTTTCTCTCTTTTTTCCAGTCCTATCTAGTCATAGTTCTGTTCCTCTGGGCTGCCTCGGTGTCGGTCTGTTGCGTCCAAGGGGCTCGGTTCTAAAATGCACACAAATTGGATAATAAAACTCAAGCAGAGGAGACAATAAATAAATGACGATGTGCAAAGGAAGAACATTCCCTGCTGAAAGCCTGTGTGTGCTGTGTGTACAGTATGTGGCTATGGGCAGAAGTCAGTTAAGTATGTGTTTTCCTAGTTTTACTTGACTTGATGAAGTGGTGGCACAGTTGAGTTATGAGAACAGTTGACATCAGAGAAATAATGACGTTTAAAAAGTTGGAAATATAAACTTCATATGCTTTCTTTTTTTTGTCTTCCTGTACCCTACCTTTCAGCTTCAACGTAATTTGCATTTGTCAGGGTCACAAACCTCTGTCCTTCCTCTTCCTCTCCCACAATCCTCTTTTTTCAATTTCTCCTTAGCTCCGTTTCAGTTACCCCTCCCTTTCCCATAACCCTGTGCTGCTTCCTGGGACCTCAGCATGACCCCCTCTACATTACTACATTGCTTAGACTTTTCTCTCTTTAGGCCTGCATCCTTGTGTTGTGCGTCTGTTTGAGTAAAACTGAAAACAACAGTGATCATATTGCAGTAAATGTCAGTTATTTATTCTCTCTGCTGAAATGTTTGGAGTGTGAGAGTTTTGAGTTATGCTATTTCGGAATCTGCGGCTGTGCAATAAAGAAAGTGTTAGAGGATAGGTTGTATAGATGTTGTGTAAGCAAATGTGATTTTCTTGGCCTGACTGTACAATTATATGCCCATTTGGGACTTAGCATGCCTCGGAGTTAAGAGTGTTTATGTCTTTCGGCCTCCTCAAATTGAGGTTTTATGGTGTGGCTTGTGGACATTGTACTGTATATTTGTGAAATATCCTTCCAACTCCTTTCTGTCTCCTCTTCATTACTTTTATAGAAGGGACACAGTTTTACGACTTCTCCTCTTCTGTTGTGTTTCCAGCCGGTGGAGTGGTTTCAGCTAATATAATTAAAATGCCACAATAGACTGGCATGTTTTACTGGAGCAGTTCCTACTGGGCGACGTAGACATAGTGTACTCACTAACCTCTCTGCTTGCCTATTGGCACGGCATCAAAGTCATAGCAGGAGAGGAGGATGAGAAATTGAGGGACAGACATGCTGAGGAGGGGAAAAGGAAGTGTGGATGCGAAAACAATGGATAGAAATAGAGAAGAACTGATAGATGGATGAAGGAAGGCAAGACATAAGGGATGTAGGTCAGTGGCAGCAGGAGCAGTGGCTTTCGGTGAGCCCTCTGTCTTTAGGCTTACTGTAATTGCCTCTATGTTTGAAGTCCTCACCGTTGCGTGTCTGGGTGCCAGCCAATAGTGATCTGTGTGGTCTGCGTGTGTTTGAGAGGGTTGTGTTTGCCTCTCATTTCTATATCTCAGTTTGACACAAATTTCTGACACACCACGCCAGCAAACACAGGACAATACCCTAAAGAATGTGTCTTCCTCGATGCCAGCAATTGCGCACACAAACACAACACCGGTCAAAATATGACTTGTAAAACAAAACGGTCAACGATGCGTCCTCTAGGACGATCCCAGTATTTAAGAGGCAATTTTATCTTGTGTCATAAAATTGCTCTTGGAAGACAACTCCGCTATGAAATGAAGTGCTTGTTGTTTCTCATAACGAGCAACGAGTGTTGCTTATCATGGTGTCGCAATACTGGAACAGTGTCTGCCTGATTCAACAATCTGGTTCGTAATGGACTTTGTATTTCAATTTCAGTTACAGTATAAACACACTTTTTTAAGGCACCTAACCCATTACTTCATGTGCCAGCTAAAGAAAGTCATACAGTTGCCACTTGTTGAGGTGGTAACGTGTGAGTAGACTTTAAACAAAGAACACATACCATATCAGTTACACACACTTACTGACTGATGTTGTTCAGTGCACATTTTAACAATCTTCAAAGGAAGAGAAAATCCACTTGCAAACCTCTGCTTTGATCCAAACATGAAGCTTGTATTGTAGTCGTGGTGACACAGGATTATTGCCTTATAGACCATCAGACTATTTCTGTTTGCCACAGACAGCTCACACTCCATACACAACACATTCACACACTGAACACACCTCAACACTCACACAACATGATCACATCTGACTAACAGAGCTGGACCTCTCTTTGCTCAACTATTTTTAGGGACATTGTTATCCTTTTTCCTCTGGGAAACTTTATAAATGTCAGTTGGACCCTGATTGTGCAAGATTTTGTCTGAATTTGAACTGACATTAGTGTGATGCAATGTATACCTGTAAGTCTGTATTTAGGACCAATAGCGTGCATTGGCATACTTCCCTGTAGAGTTTTAGTGTGAATGTGTGTACCAGTTTAGGTTTGCAGTGTGTGGTATTTACCATCAGAGTGAGATTCTGAACAAGAGGTCTGGTTTGAATCCAACTTTTAGCCTTACTCCAGGTTTGTTGTCTAACCCAAATTATGTGTAAGTGAGTTTAAAATGAAAATGAATGACAGGAGAGAGGGAAAGCTAACAAAACCATCTCTGTACAAACAACAAAAAGTACAGTACACTACTGTGGAGAGGGTGTTGTGTGTGTGGCTCTGATCTGTGCTGTGTGTATGTGGTAACCTGAAACCACAGGGAAAACGTTCCTAGAATTCCGGGTGGGTTTGGTGTCGTGGCTCGCTCACTGGAGCCCCCCGAGTGGTGCTGGGAATGCGGCCTCCGCACGGAAGAGCTTGAGAATGAAGGGAAAGTACCCGTGTGTGTGTTTGAGCCGAACAGCTAAGCATCTCAACACCAACATGTAATGGAATAGTTTGTTTCTTAAAGTGTTGGTGATCTGAAAGAGCATAAATATACATTTTAAAAGGCATTTGATTGTTACATAGAGACACAAACATTATCTTTATTGATGGCAACAACCTGTTTAATATAACGCATCCACCCATGTCTATAGGAAAAAACGGTGTCTTTAATTAAACAATAAAACAAATAGATATAACACATACTGTAAATTGTTCAAGATTTGAACATGTTAATATTTCTCTAAACTTTCACCAGCACTATAACTGTATAATCCTTTTAGATCCCAAGTCTGGCACAATTACAAGTGCTTTGTAATTTATTAGAACAGGATAGGACTTCAGAACATTAAATGCCAGGAAGGAAATTATCTTATAAAAAGTTATACTGTCAGTGGCTCTGCACTCTAGGGACAGATTTGCTCAGCTGAGGTCCAACCCTCTTAACACAAACCCAGACTTCTCAGATTCAGCTTACTGACTGATTTATGATGATATGTCCACTCTCTAACCTGTGGCTGATTGACAGATAAGCCTGATCCTGACAAACATGATAGTAATGACTGGGACTTTTGCCAAGAAAGCCATTTTGACCATGTGTTTGTCAATGCCACCATCTGTCCGACTTCATTTGGATAATAGCTGCCCAACCTTTGCCCTCCTTCCCTCTGCCTGCAGCACACTCACTCTTCACTCCTTGACCTTAACAGAAGTTTGCACAACATTGCGGTATATAATCCTATATATGTTATTCTGGAGTCAAGCAGCTGTACTTAGAGCTGCCTCCATATCTCTCTATCTACAATATGCTCTCAAATGTCAATCTTACTGAGTGCCTGGGGATCATTTCTGCATGTGGGAGAGTGCGTGTGGGGGGTATGCAGATATTCTGATTGCATTTAAGCTTAAAAAATGTACTGCGTGATTGTCTGAGTGAGCTGTGTGTGCGCATGTGTTCTTGGATGGGTGTGAGTTGTGCTCCCCGCATGCCCTTTGCAGCAGCAGAGAGTCTGATCCCTGACCTCTTCACTCAACACCCTCACAAGCCCTCTCCTCTCTCTATGCGAGTATGTCTGAGTATGTGGATGCCTGTGTATGTTTGTTACTGTGAGTCAAATGTACTTTATATTTGAGTTGAAACTGGACTGTTTGCACTGAGTACTTTCTGCTTACACAGGCTGCATATACAGTGCTGTCCAGATGTGTCATTATGCCTCCTTCTCCCTTTGTTTGTCCATGTTTATGATACCCTTCATACACACTGAGCCATTCTATCGTTGCAACACCAGCCTGAACATAAAGAAAATATGTAAGTACATAAAATCATGACATATGATATGATATATTTAGCTTTATCCACGGTGAACCCCTTGACTGGTTTTTAGTTTACACTGGAGCTGTCAACCTTAAGCACTAGATCACGCCATGCTGGCCCGGATCAGACAGACAGACAAACAGGTGGTCGTACCACACCAGAGGATCATGGTCCACTCCACCCGCCTGTGCTCTGGGGCATAGTTTACTCCCCTGGCTCTGCCCCTGCCTGCCCTTGTCTGCCTTCCACACACCAACTGCCCCCCCCACCTCCCCATAGACCTCTAACCTCAGTTATCCATGCCCTCCTCGGCATGTGGGCATGTGGCTGGAAGGGGGGGATATATTCATCGTTATAGGTCTTGTAACTTGTTCCTTCCTCTCTTTCTGTTTGTATAATTCCCTCCTCCATTCACATGTTTCACAATGCTCTGACGTTGATGGTTCCTGTGTCAGTTGTCAATTTTCATGAGCAAATTTGTACCTGGGAGCAGTTTTGTTCTGTCCCTCCCCTTTTTCTCTCATTTTAACATATATCTTTCATCCCTTTGTAACTAATAGATACACACTATCCTTAAAATCAGTAAGTTGTATGGTGAAATTGAAATTGTTTAAAAAGTGGCTAAGGCTGCCACCTACTGGGGAATCACTGTAAATAAGGGATCCTGACATAACGTCACTATTGGATGAGTTGGGAGTGAGAATGTGTTGCTTAATCAATGTACTTAATTATCTATTTGCACAAGAAGAAATAAGGTTTCAAAATCTATTGGAGAAATAAGTGCTCTACAGTTAAATACATG